GAATATACTTAAACTTTCTGCACCTATAACACATTATTATTATTGTTGTTGCTGTTGTTGTTGTTGTCGTCGTCGTCGTTGTTGTTGTTGTTGTTGTTGTTGTTGTTGTTCTTCTTCTTCTTCTTCTTCTTCGTATAATTATTATTATTAATTATTATTTTAATTAATTAAATTTTATAATTCGTATTATTATTATTATTAATTGATTATTATTCATTATTATTATTTTATTGTAAACTGTAACATCATCGCTGGCCGGCCGGGAAGCGTGGTGGCTATGTAATGTTTAATTGTTCGAAGTTAGTTTTGGGGAGGGCTCACCAACAGTTAATTGACACGCGACACCATACTGCATATTCGTGATTCCAATAACGACACTATGAGTCAGGGGTAAAGAAGCAAGCATGCACGCGCCAAATAAAATCTGTTGGGGGGAATTAGGAACTCTCATCGACATTTTTAATCTGACAGGCTGATGCGCTTTTAGAATCGGAGTTGAAAGTTCGAATGCATATGATATTTAAGGGCAGTTATCTATAAGATGCTTGTGTTGGAGACGCCGGCATAATTTGGAATATTTCCGCCAAAAATCCGCTGCGTATACCTTTCTCGTTTCGCGCGTGTTTTTATCGGCTGTTTTATTAGTCGTTGTTTCGACCTGTTTTCGTTTGTTACATTCGTATTTATTTTTTAAGTGCACAAGCGATGGCTAGCACTGAAGCGTGTTTTTTCGGGCTGTGCAACGCGCCAGCTAAGGCATGCTACACCCCCTACACTGTGAATTATGTGCAGATCGTGAGTGATTGTTTAAATTCGTCTAGTCATGAATAATTCATTTTTATCACCGGCTTAGTTACCTCCTTGTACTGCTATACGGGAAGTCGGGCAGGCTGCCCCGCACCTCCAGACTTGCGCCATTCGGCAATGCATACAGCTTGTTATTCGTTGTTTATCGTGATCACTCTCGCTAATAATGACGGACTAGCAGCGCTAGTTTACTTGATCACGACGCCCCCTAAGCAGCGCTAACCACCCGCGCTTAGCTCCAGAATAGAAGTAATTACGGGTCTCTGCTTTGTCGCAAATTATCGCTGTTAAAAATGGCTTCGTGTTGCCATCCCCAGCTCGCGCATAGTTACTAGTGATTTCTCATCGGTAACGCACGCGCATATTTGATGTGAGTGCGGATGTGATGTTTTGTGTAATGTTGTGTTGAATGCCTGATATGTATTTCTGAGAGCACGTCTTCATACTTCATCCCGAGGTGTAAACATTTCGAGATAATGCTGAATATCGCATTACACGCATGAAAATCCGCGCAATAGAAAATCTTTGAATTTTGCGACACACGTCAAATCAGTTAGGAGGCGTCAACTCACTATAAATCCGTGTATTCTATCCGTGTATCATTATATATATATATATATATTCATATATATATATATATATTATAATTTATATATATATAGAGCCTCGAGGACGAATATGTACCATCTGCGGAAGCTCGCTGATTAAGAATTTAAATTACCCTTTACCCATTTTGTTTGAATTGTGTTTTTTTATCTACATGAGGTGTTCGTTGTGTTTTTACTTCTATATATATATATAATACTATGATATATAGTATAAGTATATATATATTATATATATAGTATGTGTGTGTGGTGTGTGTGTGTGTGTGTGTGTGTGTGTGTGCGCGCGGTCGCGTGCGCGTGTGCGTGTGCGTGTGCGTGTGCGCGCGCGCGCGCGGCGCGCCGCGCGCGCGTTGTGATGGTGTGTGTGATTGTGTGTGTGTGTGTGTGTGTGTGTTGTGGTGTGTGTGTGTGTTGTGTGTCGTGCGTGCGTGTGTGTGCGTATATATATAATATATATATATATATATATATATATATACATATATATATCCCCTATGGCTCCATCGCCTAACTCGCCTAACCTCACACTCTTCCTAAACGCTGACCCTCCCCTCGGGCACGCTTTGTGCGTCTATTTGTTCAGTAATGAGAAGATTACATAATTAAAGTCGAATAATTAACCGTAAGGCGACGTTGGCCTCCTGCCAATAGTGTATAAAGCTACGCATACGCTACACGGCTTACCCTACACGACACTACACGCTTACACGTCTACGACGCTACACGCACAGGGTACACGCTAACGCTGACACGCTACAGTACCAGTCTACACCGCCACGCACCAGGCTAGCGCTACAGCTACTACCTTAACGCTATCACGCTACACGCTACACGCTACACGCTACAACACACGGCACACATGTAAGCTACACGTAGCGCTACACGCTACACCACACGCTACACGTAACACAACACGCTACAGCTACACGCTACACGCTACCACCGTACACCGACACACTACACTACACCTGCACACGCTAGCACGCTACACGCCACACGCACCGGCAACACACACCGCTACAGCTTACACCTAGCACGCTACGACGCTAAGCCCGCTACACTACAGCTACCCTACATGTACACGCTACACACCACAGTAACACGCTACAGCTACGCTACACGCCAGCTAGCACGCTACACGCCAACGCACCCACTACAAATGTTACATCGCTCCACACCACTACGACCGGCTACGCTACACGCTAAGCACTACAGTTACACCTACACCGTCGCCCGCGTACACGCTACACGTACAGCTACACCTACACGCTACCACGACCAGCTAACACGCTAACACGCTACACGCCACAGCACCGCTACACCTACACGCTACGCTACACGCTACAACGCTACGGCGCTACCACGCTACCCACGCTACACGCACACGGGCTACACGCAAGCTAGCCGCTAACAGCTCATTCCAGGTCACGCTACAACGCTCCTACACCGCTAGCTCGCTAACCGTGCGCGCACACGCTAGCCAAGACGCTACAGCTACAACACACACGCTACACACTACACGCACGTACACGCTACACGATCACACGCTACACACTCCACGACCACCTACTACACCTACGACACTACGCTACATCCTACACGCTAACGACACTACACGCTACAGCGCTTACCGCCTACCGCTCTACACACTACACGCTACACGCCACAACGCTTAACGCGTACACGCTACACGACTCAGGCTAAACGCTACACGCCACACGCATCATGCATCGCGTGTTAAACGTGCTAATAAATTATGTATGGCGCGACGGGCCGCAGGCAATTAATGCATCCATTACAGCACGAGCATGCGGCCCGCCGCGCGCGCGCCGCCGCCGCCGCTGCGGTGGCCGGAATATGCATAAACTAGCGGAGATAGGGCAGGAGGGAGGAGGAGGCAGGAGGCAGGAGGAGGAGGAGGAGAAGGAGAGGAGGAGGAGGGAGGGCGGGGGAAGGTGGAAGGGAGGAAGGAGAGTGGAGACAAGGGAAGAGGAGAAAGGAGAGCTTGAATGTGAGAGAGGAGACTCGGAAGGAATGTTTTTTGAGGAGGCGGGACCAAAGAGCGCGCGAGATGGATTGAGAGCGAAATAGATAGAGAGAGAGAGAGGAGACTCGGAAGGAATGTTTTGAGCGACGGCGAGAAAGAGCGCGCGAGATGGATTGAGAGCGAAATAGATTAGAGACGAGAGAGAGGGGGAGGAGAGACGTGAGAGATGAGGCAGGAGAGATTAGAGAGAGAGAAAATGAGAGGAGCAGGAGAAAGAGAGAGAGAGAGAGAGAGAGAGAGAGGAGAGAGAGAGAGAGAAGAGAGGAGGGAGAGAGAGAGAGAGAGAGACAGAGGCGAGAGAGACAACAGAGAAAGGCCGAGAGAGAGAGAGAGAGCGAGAGAGCGATAGTAAAGAGAGAGAGAGAGAGAGAGAGAGAGAGAGAGAGAGAGTAGAGAAAGAAGAAAAGAGCGAGAAGAGAGACGAGAGAGAGAGAGAGAGAGAAAGAGAAAGAGAAAGAGAGAGAAGAGAGAGAGATGAGAGAGAGAGAGAGACAGGCAGAGAGAAAGAGAAAGCGAGTGAGTGAGAGAGAGACAGGCAGAGAGAGAGAGAGAGAGAGAGAGAGAGAGAGAGAGAGAGAGAGAGAGTTAGAGAGAGGAGAAGAGAGAGAGAGAGAGAGAGAGAGAGAGAGAGAGAGAGCGAAGAGAGAGACAGACAAGAGAAAGCGAGAGCGAGGAGAGAGGACGCGCAGAGAGAGAGAGGAGAGAGAGAGAGGAGAGAGAGAGAGAGAGAAGAGAGAGAGAGAGACAGAGAAGCGGAGAGTAGAGAGAGCGAGAGAGAGGAGAGAGAGAGAGAGAGAGAGAGAGAGAGAGAGAGAAGAGAGAGAGAGAGAGAGAGAGAGAGAGTAAGAGTGGGGGATGAAGTCGTTTTGAATACAGACAGGTTTTACATGAGTCTTCTTGACAGGTTAGCGTTTTTCACGACGCTGACTAGAAGGCAAGGATTATGGCACGTCCCTGCATCTGTATTCATGCATAGTAATGCGAATCAGATCCACTCATAACAATTCAGGCGGCATATCAATTCTCCAGTGCAATGTTAGTTCCTTTATAATGAAAAAACGAGAAGACGGAATTTCAAAGATGGCATCACCGTGTGTGTATATATATATAGGGACAAAGAGAAAGACGTGAGACAGAGGTAGTGTAGATAGCATAGATAGATAGATATATATATAGATTAGATAGATAGATAGAGTAGATAGTAGCTAGCTATATAGATAGACAGATAGATAGAGTAGATAGATAGATAGATAGATGAGCTATATAGCTATATAGATAGATCAGATGATAGTAGATAGATAGATAGGTAGTTAGATAGATAATAAGATAGAGTATAGAGGATAGATAGGTAGTTTAGATAATAAGATAGATAAAGATAGTAGATAGACTAGATATATGATAGATATATAGATAGATAGATAGACAGACAGATAGATATATAGATAGATAGATAGATAGATAGATAGATAGAGGTATAGATGTGTAGTACATGCAACTATAATATTAATGCACATGAACATTTAAACCAGTAAGTTGATATTATTTTATTATAACATTATCGGCACAGTAAACGTTCTATACAGTTTCCCTTGACAAACAAATTTACAGAAATTGTAATTATCTATAGTATATATATTACTAATATTAAAATCCACCGTAGCTCGAGAAAGCCGCACGCACGCACGCACGCACGCACGCACGCACACACGCACACACGCACGCACAGACGATCCCCAGAGACAGGACACTGCAGGTTAATACTGAATGCTGCGCGGTGATTACAGGTGTAATGACAGAGAGATGCCGCCAGCTAATGATGCAAATCATTGCTAAATTACATGGTAAATCACAGGTAAACTGCGAGTAGTATACCTGGTAGCTTGCGGGTAGCTGACAGCGGGCGAGTCAACGACAGACGCTGCGTGACATCACACGAATGCCGTCTGAACACTAGGTGAACGACATGAGAATACTGAATGCCTGCCGAATGACACAGGGGAAGGCCAGATTCATCATGAGAATAGCAGACGAATCCCACATCGGGGGAATACCAGTGGAATTACACGGAAATCACACGTGTATGATGGTGAAGCAGGCAGAGCGGTAGCGTGTGAGGGGAAGGGGTAAGGGGAAGGGGCAACTGCCCCTCATATGCTGAAAAAAAAACACACAATAATCATCATAATAACTGCAGATAACCGCAAAATAAATGTAACAGATACTAGAACAGAATTATCACCCCCCCCACCCCAACCCCGCAGCCAACACCACCCCCAAAGCTCACCATCTCATCCTACGTGTAATTTGTTTCTCCAAACCTTTAGAGAACCAATCCTAAATGGCATTACTAAATTAGGTGACAAAATTTTTGCTCCCGCCCGAATTCTCCGGCTACGACCTAGGACACGCCGGAATAAGTGTCAGCGGAATGAGTGACGTCACCACTAACGGGGCGACACTAGTACGTCTGCTGTGACGATCACAGCTGACACCATACCGCGTTTGTGACAGCGCGGTTAACGGTGGGTCACACGCGTGTTCGACATGGCGGCGTGTAGAACAGGAACCAATGCGTCTCATCCCTGGCTCGAACACGAGCTTTCGACCTTGAGTGTCCTCTGATAGGAATACGTTTAACGTGTGAGTGATGGCATATTTCACTCTCACAGGAGCCGAGCGATTATGAGATGCTAACTTCCATCGAGATGTGTTAAAACACACCTGTGCCACATGACGAGATCTTTGTCTCGAACATTTCGCGCGCGAAACGTGATTATTGCATTAAATGGCGCGTCACGGATTTACAGACAGACGCGCTGTCCGAATAGCGCGTTTTGATTGGCTGGCGGTGGAGTGACGTACATCGGCGAGATATTTCACAGCGCTCTTATCTCGCAGCGAGCGTTTATCTCATACATAGACTAGTACGTGAACGTAACCGCTGCTGCTGAATGCCAGCGAATCAGCGCCGCAGCGGAAAACATCATGATTCAGATTATCTGCAACGTGATAAGAATTTACACACTGTCTCATGACGCGACGGGATTAACCGCTCCCGTGATTGCCGCAAGTCTAAGCCCACGTTGCTAAACAGATTACCGCCACCGCTAGCGAAACTTCTCACCAAGAATTGTTATATCCAACATCACGTCTGCCACCAGCCGTACTGCCAGCCCCGTCACTGCTAGTCACAGTACTAGCCTAAGCATTACCACTATTAATAATCGTAGTAACACCCCCGCGAAATCGCTAGCATGCCTAGCTGAATTGCTACCGATGTTAGCTACCTAGCCTCAGCAGTAGTGCTACCTCTGTTAGCTGATTCATCAATAATGCTAGCTACCCGTACATCGGCTGTAGTAGCTGATTCGCTACCAACGCTATCCACCCGCACATCGCGCTCGCCTGTGGTGATGCCAGTATCACCACTGCTAGCTAATTCGCTAGCAGTGATACCCACCCGCATTTGCATGCCTGCATCGGTACATGTGCTGCCTCTGCTAGCTAATTCGTTAGCAGTTGTAGCTACCTGCACTTTCGTGCTTGCATCGGCACGTGTGCTGCCTCTGCTAGCTAATTCGTAATTTAAACTGTAACATCATTGCACACGTCTATGTAATGTTTAATTGTTACGAAGTTAGTTTTGGGGAGGGTCACCAACAGTTAATGACACGCGACACATCACTGATATTCGTGATTCCAATAACGACACTATGAGGTCAGGGCGTAAAGAATGCAACATGCACGCGCCAGTAAAAATCTGTTGGGGGGATTAGGTAAACTCTCCCATGAACATTTTTAATCTGACAGAGCTCGATGAGCTCTAGAAATCGAGTTAGAAAGTTCGAATGCATTGATATTAAGGCAGTTCTATAAGATCTTGGTGTTGGAGCGCCGGCATAATTTGGAAATATTTCCGCCAAAAATCCGCGCGTAATACTTCTCGTTTCGCGCTGTTTTATCGCTGTTTTATTAGTCGTTTTCGACCTGTTGTTCGTTGTTACATTCGTATTTATTTTTAAGTGACAAGCGATGGGCTAGCACGAACGTGTTTTCGGCTGTGCACGCGCCCAGCTAAGCATGTACAACCCCCTAACTGTGATATGTGAAGATCGTGTGATTGTTTAAATTCGTCTAGTCATGAATAATTCATTCTTTATCACCCTTAGTTATCCTCCTTGTCTCTATACGGGAAGTCGGGCAGGCTGCCCACCCACCTCAGACTTGGCCCATCGCATGCATACAGCTTGTTAATTATTGTTTATCGTGATCACTCTCCTATAATGACGACTAGCACGCTAGTTACTTGATCAACCGCCCCTACCGCGCCTAACCACCCGCGCTTACTCCAATATAGAAGTAATTACGTGAGTCTGCTTGTCCAATTATCGCTGTTAAAATGGCTTCGTGTTGCCATCCCCCCTCGCGCATGTTACTGTGATTTCTCATCGGTAAACGCCGCGCATATTTGATGTGAGTGCGATGTGATGTTTGTGTATGTTGATGTGATGCTGATATGTATTTCTGAGAGACGATCTTCATAACTTCTCACGAGGTGTAAACATTTCGAGATAATGCTGAATATCGCATTACAGCGCTGAAAATCCGCGAATAGAAATCTTTGAATTTTGCGACACCGTCAAATCAATTAGGAGCGTCAACTCACTATAAAATCCGTGTATTATCATCCGTGTATCATTATATATAT